TACGTAGCGAAGCTGTATTCACGTATAGAATTTCCGTATGCGTGACTTTGGATACAATTGTACAATATACATCTCTTATTATCAAAACAGCTTAGTAAATGTTGTTTATTTAATAATTAAACGTTTTAATTGATGGTTTTGACTTCGAATGGTTTTACATAGATAATGATATATTTGTTTAATTTCTCGTTAAATAATACGCCTTTGTAAGGTTCATGTTTGATTCTTTTACCTGGACTGGTACTATCTATCCTTCAAGTAATATATCAAACATGAGATGCAGTGTTTCATCACCAGATGAAACACCGAGAAGAGAGTTGAAAATACGACGCGCAGCGGAGTATTTTTGACGAACTTCGAGGTGTTTCATCTGGTGATGAAACACTGTGTCGAATATTTGATATTTCTTCTCAAACAAAATCATTTTTGAAGGAGAAATTAAGGATGCAAATACTAAGCAGTGTTTCATCCGATTTCCAAACACTCATTAAACATTAATTTCCTTTGTATTTTCTTAATGAAATATTAATGAGTTTGAGAAGGATATCGATACATCATTTAATCTCAACTAAAATACATTCCGCACAAGGGTATATACCGCCAGCCTCTTCCTTGAATTTTCAAATATAAAGTAAAGATCACTAACTCTCGCCATGTGCTTTTTTGTTGATACATCACTTCTTAAAAACGACATCCTATAATATCCATAATCCTAGCTCCCAGGCCCCGACGACCTTAGGGTCGCCTGACTAGTTTACAAAGTAAAAAAACGCGAACGAAACATTCTTGACATCCGAGTATCAACATACGAATTCTCACATGTCTTGTGAGGATTTGCTTTATTTACGGAACTAATGTGAGTGTATCGCAGAGTTGAATCTCTCCGCAAGTTGTTGATCGCGAACAACGTGTAGCATGTGCTTTTTGATTTACCAAGAAACGAGTGTAAATCAAAATACCGTCCATCTTAAAAATGGTTTCATTTGAAAGTTTAGCCGGAAATGACTTCTCTGAACGGGGTACGCAAGCGGAGGTTCACTGCCAAAGAAACCTCAATCGCCAACTGGGAAGTATTAGACGAAAAATATCGCATCGCTGTTCAAGGAATTTTTTGTGGGCATTATTATAAGCTAGTAGCGCTAGTCCTAAGGTAACAGACTTGTTGTTTGCCTTCGATTTTTGTAAAAAATAATCCAGGAAAACTGGTATCCTCGCTCGTTGGGTGTTTGCTGTTTGCTAATTTTGATTAATAAATTTAGCGAGCTTTTCAGACCTGCACTAAAACAACAACACAACTAAAGAGAACTACAAAGTGTGTTTGTAATATTGTTTTTCGTTTTGTTTATAGGTCAGTTGAGCATGCGTTTTTAGTAGTGCCGTTCGGTCTTTCCAAATTGGAAGATAACATTTACCCGGATTTATAAAAAATATAAATATATATATTTTTAGACGTTTGTTTCTCTAGTAAATTCGCAAATTGCTCTAAATCACCTAAATATAAATGCACGAGAGAACTCGTTTGGTTTGTTCTGAGATAACTTATATATCCTTTGAAAAAGTTCGCGATTTATTTCTCCAAGATTTTTAAAGATTGATGTACTGAAAATCGGGCAAAATTGCCGAGGAAAATATACAGGCAACAGAAAAATAGAGATCTCCTTTAATCTCGTAAGAAGTTATATGTGACTGCGCTGACTGTTTTATTTTTAGTTCAAAAAATTAATAGGTAAAAGCTATTTTTTTAAGTCAGCGAGTCTGCAGTTTTCCAACGTATGAAAAATTTGCGTACTAAAAAAGCAAGTAACAGAAGTAATTTTGGCTGGCTGATTCAGCAAATGTCAATCAATCAAAAAAAATGGGCGGCAGACGTTTCGTAGAAGGTTTGCATCAGGCTCTGTTTTGGTTTCGCCTTGCCCGCCGGAATGTTATTTACAAAGCGAAACGAAAATTAAGCCTGATCTCAGGTTATGTATGAGACAGTTCCGTGCAAATTGCATAAGCTAGGGTTTTCCTAGTCCTCTCTACATTGGATTGTGATTTATCTGACTGATCGAAGGCAGTACGTACAAATCAATGATCGCTCGTCGGAACGCATAAATGTGTCTTTTGGGGTACCTCAGGGATCCATTTTGGGCCCTGTTCTATTCGGCCACCTCACCTTTATGTCAACGACATACATGCATACATACGATCAATGATTACTCCTGAAGCCTGAACTCCCGTGATTATTAATAGTCAATGCTCTTCAATTAAATGAATTGAGCGCTCTACGGAATACGTTCTACCCAGAATACAAGTATTTACACTGTACATACATACATACATACATACATCCTTTATTGTCTTTCTTTAAACAAGGCTTTTCAAAGATAATTAGAAATAGAAATGGAGTACAGTAAATATATAAAATTGGATTGGGTCCTGTCTTATTCAACCTGTATTTCAAGGACATGACTGAAGCACTCTCAACGAAAGTAAAAGTGCCATCAATATGCGGACGATACTACGATCTATAGTTACCGTAAACCGTCTGAGCTTAAGAGTTGTCAGGCAGAAATGTAAGCGGCGCTGAACAAGTTATCATGTCTACCTGGTTATCTCGCTTGGCGCTTATCCCTAAGAAGACTAAAGTAATGCTTCTTTCAACTCCCCAAATGTCAAAAACTCACGGACTAGCTGGACAGTACATCTATCCTTGCGCAAATGGAAAGGTTCTCACGCTAATGTTAACTTTCTGCTTATTTGGTTTGGAAGTTCACGAAAACCTAAACTCGAAAAAGATAAAAAAGATTAAGATAAACACAAAGAGTCTCATTGTCAGTGATCCTATATCAGATTATCTTGAAAAGGAATTCCTGGGAAAACAGTTCGCGGCTTCTAGTTTTCTTAAAGGGGCCTAACGTCCAGGAATCTAACATTCAGGGTTCTTACAACAAGGGATGTTACATCCAGGGGTCAAACCAGTACGAATTTACGACCAGGGATTTCAAAACCAGGTGTCGTACAACGAGGGGTCTTAGCACCAAAGGTCTTACAACAAGGGTTCTTACAACCGGCAATTTTATGACCAGGGACCTTACAATTAAAAAAAATTACAAGCACGAGTATTACAACCAGGGGTCTTATAACTAAGAATTAAGAACCCTGGTAGTAAGAACCCCTGGTAGTAGGAACCCTTGGTTGTAAGAACCCCTGGTTGTAAGAACCCCTGATTGAAAGAACCCCTGATTGTAAGAACCCTGGTTGTAAGAACCCCTGATTGAAAGAACCCCTGGATGTAAAACCCCTGGTTGTAAGAACCCCTGGTTGTAAGACCCTTGGTTGTAAGAAGCCCTGGTTGTAAGACCCCTGGTTGTAAGAACCCCTGGTTGTAAGACCCCTGGTTGTAAGAACCCCTGGTTGCAAGACCCCTGGTTGTAAGACCCCTGGTTGTAAGACCCCTGGTTGTAAGAACCCCTGGTAGTAAGAACGCCTTGTTGTAAGACCCCTGGTTGTAACAACCTGCGGTTGTAAGACCCCTTGTTGTAAGAACCCCTGGTTGCAAGACCCCTGGTTGTAAGAACCCCTGGTTGTAAGACGCCTGGTTGTAAGAACCCCTGGTTGTAAGAAACCCTTGTTGTAAGACCACTGGTTGTAAGAACTTTTGGTTGTAAGACCCCTGGTTGTAAGACCCCTGGTTGTAAGAACCCCTGGTTGTAAGACCCCTGGTTGTAAGAACCCCTGGTTGTAAGAACCCCTGGTTGTAAGACCCCTGGTTGTAAGACCCCTAGTTGTAAGAAACCCTTGTTGTAAGACCCCTGGTTGTAAGAACCCCTGGTTGTAAGACCCCTGGTTGTAAGAAACCCTTGTTGTAAGACCACTGGTTGTAAGAACTTTTGGTTGTAAGACCCCTGGTTGTAAGACCCCTGGTTGTAAGACCCCTGGTTGTAAGAACCCCTGGTTGTAAGAACCCCTGGTTGTAAGAACCCCTGGTTGTAAGAACCCCTGGTTGTAAGAACCCCTGGTTGTAAGAACCCCTGGTTGTAAGAACCCCTGGTTGTAAGAACCCCTGGTTGTAAGACCACTGGTTGTAAGAACTTTTGGTTGTAAGACACCTGGTTGTAAGAACCCTTGTTGTAAGGACTCCTGTTTGTAAGACCCCTGGGAGACCCCTGGTTGTAAGACCCCTGGTTGTAAGAACCGCTGGTTTTAAGACCCCTTGTTGTACGACCTCCGGTTGTAAGGCCCCTGGTTGTAAGAACTCCTGGTTTTAAGACCCCTTGTTGGAAAACCCCTGGTTGTAAGACCCCCTGTTGTAAGACTCCTGGTTGTAAGAACCCCTGGTTGTAGGACCCCTGGTTGTAAGTACCCCTGGTTATAAGACCCCCGGTTGTGAGAACCTCTGGTTGTAAGAACGTCTGGTTGTTAGAACTCTGGGTTGCAAGACGCGTGGTCGTTTTCCATTCAGCTAATTCCCGCTTTGAAATTTTGGAATTTTCACTTGCCCAATGGAACGCCTCAGCGCCGACCCAAGCCACCGAGCGTATGGTTATTGCGTGTTTCAGGTGAATTAAGGCATGGGTCTACGTTACATGCGGGGTTCCATGATTTAAACTTGTTTTTTCCATTATCTTCCTTTATTTTAACCCTAGATTGCTGTGTTTAAGACCAGAATCACTTTGGAACCTGAACATTACTTTTTCAGATCACGTGACCATCCACGCCCATAATTATGGAAAATTTGGACTTTGCATATTAAACTACTTTAATAAATGTGACCACAATCGTTTTTCTTTGCGATATTTTATTTACAGTCAAACAAGTTAAATTAATCGAGGATTTGTGAAATGATCCCTTCCTTCGTAATTATTAGATATTTTTCTCTCGCCTCAGTCTCCCTCTTAACAAGAAAGGTTATAGTTTACTAAACGTAGATAATTTAAGAAAACCCCGATTAATTCCACAAACTTTGTGTCGATACCCATCGACCTACAAGTGTTGACATTGAATTACATTGAATTACAAGTGCTATTTATGAAGTGGCGTAAATTTGGATTGAAATAAAAAGTCAAAAATGGGTGTGGCGAGTCACGTGACAAATATAATACCTTAAAAATAATGAAAAATGAATGCTTATGGGGAGTAGATATATGCGGAAGGTAAAATCCCTAGTAAAACAGATCACCCCCATCCAAATTGGCAGTGTACCATTCGCTAATTCACCGGAGTTGTAATAAGGATACAAACGAGCGACACTGGGGACAGTAATTTTCTTTAATGGAAGGGGAGATTTCGGTCCAGACCCACCGAAATGACCAGACCGATCAAAGTAGACCACCTTCAAAGCTGGTACTGAATATTCCGGTCGGACGAAACCAAAATGGTCCGTTCCATTTGATGTACCAGCCGAGTGTACGTACAATAAAAGTGAAAACAGTGGACGTTCAGTTGCGAACTAGATAAGGTTTACAATTCTTTACGTATATTGACACGTTTGGGTTTAAAGGTATGATGCAAACGTTTCTAGGTCGCCGCTGTTTTCACTTTTATTGTAATCTTAAGTTATCAGTTCCTTCTACACAGCTTATATTTATTGCAGTTTTTTTAATCTTATATTTTGTTTCTTGGGTTTTAAATTGTAGCGGCCTGTCTCTTAGTTTCCTTGAAGAGGTCCTGACGAAAGTCAGCCTTACATTTTTCACTACTTTACTGAATTGTCCAAGGAGATTCCACCAGGGTAAGCCGGATAGGTGTTTTTATATAGGAACAGGTTTTATCCAATTCTTGGTCATCTGCTCTAGAGAAATTGTACTCGCAAGTAGCCAATATATCTAGCCAATCAGAAAGCGTCGAAATTGCATGCCGGCGCCGTCACTTTGTGAAGGGAGTGGTCTGTCGGTCATCGTCCGGGTGTCCTGGGAGCAATAACGGTTTCCTGGAGGCGAGACCACCGTCTGTTCGTGTGGCAACTACATTATTTTTTAGGGTATTTCCATTTTTATGCATGGCATTACCTATTCTCTTAAAAAAGGAAAATAATTAAGTAATTGGTTAACACTTTTGCAATTACATTATCGTGCCTACCGTGTTCATAATCTCAAAAATAAAAGCAGCAACTGATTTACAAATAAATGGATCAATATTGTTAAGGTGATTCCGTAGTAAAAGAACCTAACATAGATTGTAGGTGAAACTTGGTACACTGATGTAACAAGTGAAGAAGATGATAAAAAAGTAATAAAAAGTGGGGGTGACCCTGCTCATTTTGACGTCACAATGCTGAGAAATACGGCTATTTTGGACCCTTTGTCAAAAACCGCGTGCAGCCCAAAACTAGACAAAAACGAGAGATTTTTTCGGTGATGCATGTGGTATCGCACAGAATTTGACTTTACTGTATTGTTTATCCACTTACATACCAGAAAAATACCTTTTAATGCTCCTGTTTTTATTTTACGCTCCAAAGTAGAATTGAATTGGACACGCGCTATTCGAGCAACACGCGTACTGCCTACGTTATGCACATTCCCAACACATTGAGTCTCACCTCGGCAAGAAACAACTGCAAGCAAAAATTCCAATAGCGTTTCTCTTCAGTCAACTTCATTTTATTTAATAATGTTACTTCACATGCTCTTTTTTACGGCGGCCATCTTGTTATGCGCAATAAGAGATGCGCAGTGCAAAACCAGGGAATCACCTTAAATAGGAACAAAATTTTTGATTTTACATCTGAATCGTTTAAAAAGTTATATTTGTTAATGATTTTATCAAAAAAATTTTTGCGAAGCGTATCATGCAGAATGCAAGAACATAACATGACATTCATTTTGAACTTCATTTTTTAGCTTGACATAAGGAACAGATTCTTAAGTGTTCGGGAGTCTTGGGTACAGTGTATCCCCCTGTTTCGATACGAGACGATGAATTCCTTAGCGAAATTTATTAATAGTAGATCTATGGAGAGGATATTTTATTACATCTAGAAATTCGGTTCTGTTGGTATCTCTTTTAAGGAATTGTAAAAATTAAGTTCCGTGTTCGAGGCCAGACTGAAGAGTGACAGTTGTTGTGACTGAACTTATGTACTTAATCGAAAAAATGCGGATGAATGTTACGGTAGCTATAAGTTACTCCAAAATACAGATTTCAACCTAAATGTTCCGGCGAACTTCAAGCAAAATGTGAACTTAGTCATCCGTCATCATTTTTCGCCTTCCCGAGCTGTTTTTAAAAAAGTGTTATTTTGCGAGATGATAATTCGTCCGGCGGTTAAACGTTTAGAGCCAAAACGAGACTCCTTCTTAGTTCTAAACTACCGGTCAAGTTATCATATCGCAAAATGACGCTTTGAACAACTTGTGAGGGCGAAAAAACATGAGATGACCAATTTTTTATTTATTCTCCACATTATTTTAGCCTGTTCAGAACAGGCTACACATTCCTTAAACGTTACATCCGATCCGAGTGAGTATATCTTCGGGGCCAGTTCGGGAGGAATCGGTACAAGTCGGAAAATCGTCGGTAATTGGTCGTTTGAAGCACGCTTTCTATTTGACATCTCCGTCATGATGGCCACCATGGCAGACGGATTGAAAGAAAGAGAAAACCTTTACAAGCTGATGATAAGGTAGAGTAAAATGAATAGATGTGTTGTTCGCAGTTTTCCCTAAAACGTAGCGTAGAAAACGTTACTAAAAGATCTTATAGGAGCAATGAACGGTGGAAGGTGGAAAAAGCAAGATGGCGGCTTTTTGTTTGTACCCCGTAGAAGACGGCAAGATCGATACCAAAGACGTTTATTTATCTTTGCTGTTTTTTTCCTTATCTATATACCTCACAAATTAAAACTATCATGATTTTTAACTTTTAACATTGGGCCTGGTGGTATTTCCATCACATGGTCGATAGTTTCAGTGCAGTATTAACCCGTTATGATGAATTGATGGCTTACGCCTTGGTTAATTGACTACTGATCTTCGATTCCCCCCCTCTTCGCGTATTTTTCAAAGTTACTTTAAACACCATCAAGGTGATTTTGATGGATTTTGTAAATCTGAGAAAAGTTACTTGAAGATGTTGTCAAAATGCAATGTCTTGTTTTTCTTGTTGTGCAAGCAGCTGCTTAAGGTTGACTGTGCAATGTGTGGGAGCTGAGAGTCCTTAGTTATTCAATAAGCTCAGTTTTCGAATACCTCCTATTTTTTTCTCTTAATGACTTTGTAAAGGAAACAGCTATTTTTTAGAGCTGATTCTTTAACAGCTATCAGCAAACATTGTTGTCATGGGCTACACATTAGTGTTTCTGTACTTGTTAGCTAGTATTGAATATATTGTTGACTTCATTAATTTTGAATTGCTTTTTTCAGCCAACTTAGATATGATGGATTTGAAGCAATTGCTTCCAACTTGGCTAAAGTTGTCAATATCATCAGTGCTTGTCCTCCAATGGCACGCCTACACCAAGTAGTTAATCTTGGAATTCAGGCTGAAACGGAAGGTGTGGTTAGAGTTAAATGTAATTTATTACAGGCAAAGTGTCAAAGCCGTGAACACGAGAAATGAGAATACAGAGAATACTAAGCTTGAGAAAGCTGTAGAACACTAAACAGCAAGCAACAGCATTCATAAGTTTATTGTTTTGTCGCTAGCGTGTGTACATGTCCTGACTTTTTCTGTGATTGGTCATAACAAAATAAATATTCCTGGTATGTTGGTATGTGTAATCAAATGGTGACAAGTGAAATTAGAGAATAATTTCACGCGCATTTTGTCCAACCCTTATAACATTTGATTACCTATTAATTTCATGGGTGACGAATTACGTTTAGCAATCTTGGATTTTTGACATGTTTATCCTGGATCGTATGGATCGAGAACTCCACTCTCTCAAATGTTTAGACCTTAAATTTGGCTTATAAAGTTCATAATTTTTCAGACTATTTCGGCAAAATACCTGTTAGAATCCTTCTTGACGTTCTCTTGTGTGTTCAGGTTTTCTAAAGCGTCTTTTTGTGCCCTGACATCTTCATTCACGGCATTTTAAAACTTCGTCGCCATCTTGACACTCAGGCGTACAGAAGGTTGCCATGGCAATTTTGTAATTTCACATGTGAAATTACAAATTAACGCTGAAATTTCGTGCCAAAATTAAGGAGTAATTCGTCACCTATGATATTAATTTGGTAATTGATTTGTTTTGTTAGGAGTGAAGCCAGAACAACCAGTCATCCCTGGTCTAACACCATCAGTAGAAACAAAGCGAGGAATTGATTTGGAATATGAACCAGAAGGTGAGGAAGGAAATGAATTTTATGTCTAGAACATTTCCAGTTCTGCCTTTTAAAGAAACACAAGGCAGTGCTCTAAGGAAAATTAAAGGGAGCCCAGTACTCGTAATCTGTGAAACCCTGGGAGCCCAGCATGTGATTTGTATTAAAAAAAACTTAAGATTTTGTGGTTGCCCAAAAGCAAAAGTTGGGTGCCAGGGGCCACCGGGCTCTGCTAGGGCACAACCCTTAAACAGCCAATTCCTTGTGGTACTACAGAGCTCATTCATTGTTACGTGTAACTATTCAAGTTAAGAAATGACCACAAGAATTCCCAAGGGTAACAAACATCAATTTCTGTCCAAACAATTTACATACATACAGTGGAACCTCGATGTAATGAAGCCCCATATAACAAAGTCCTCGACATAACAAGCGATTTTCTTTACCCCAGTAATACATGTAGTAAAATATATGGGCTATTGATCCTTGATAATAATTCTTTTCGAAAATCCAACTGGTTGGTCTTTATTGAGGGAAAACAACTTAAAGCCAGTCCCTTGGCCCTGTTCGTATGGCCTAGTAATCTCAACCAATCAGAATGCAGAGGTTCCACTGTAACAGGACTAAAAGGAAAAAACCTTGATATAACGAAACCTCTTTACGGGAACACATTTTGAATTCCAGCTTGTTCTTTGGATAAGCAGTTGTCACATTTTGCTTGTCCAGGACCACTTCTTGCTTGTCTTAGTTAATAATTTAGTTAGAAGGTGACCTGCTTAGGCCTTTTCCATTGGGCAAGTGAATTTAAAAGTTACTTGCCCCAGAAGAAAATCTACTTGTCCTGGATGACCGGATGGGAATTTTTTCGAGCCATGCATAATCAAGAAAAAGGTTGTGAGAATTAAGGAAATGAACACCAAAGAAATTCTCTCAACTTATCTTATAAGGAAATCTTGGACATCAGTCTGGAGAATTTGTATGTGGGTATTGGGACTTAAAGGGTTAATACACCAGGCTTTGCTACAGCTGTCGATGTGTTACAAGTCAAAATTAAATTCAGGTTAATTTTTTTTTAACCTAGGTTGATTCTCAATTCCTAGGGCTAGAAGACAAAGGAAACTGAGAATCAACCTAGGTTACAGGGTTGTCAGAAAGTTTGAAGTAGACGGCTGAGTTGTCAAAGTGAGCGGCCAGTCCAGGGATATTTTATTTTAAAAATATTCATAAAGAAATGCCAAGCAGAGTAGCCAGCCTATACTAACCAAGTGGGTGGGGATTTTCGCTGGTAGCCGGCTACTTTTGACAACCCTGGATAAAAAATTAACCTGAATCTAATTTTGACCTGTAACAGATGTACCTTCAGCAGCCTTTATGGGAGAATAAAAAATCATCTTTGACAATGGCAGGTCTTTGTTGGATGGGTTTAGAAACACACCCTTCCAGATAAACTGCATTTGGTATAGATCTACCATTTATTCTTTTAGATCAGTGGGGGAAAAGATGCAAGCAAATGAAATGGAATGCTTGTCAATACGTATACTGAATCAATTCTTTATTTTAATCTGTAGCACATTACTAACTACACCTGCATACTCAATCCCAACTTGTTCTTCAAGGATTTGAAGAGCAAAGAATAGTTAGAAAGTACAATACAGTACATGTACCTAAATTTTGGAGGCTGTTTTTTTACGGTATTTTATCTGCTATAATCCCTTCCAGTTGAAAATTTTTTTTTTTTCTCAAACAATAAAGAATAAAAATTAGTCAATCAAGTGAGGGCTGAGCTTTCAGAAAATTGATATCCCAGGTGTCAATTTTCACACTTAAGGTGTAGTTTCTTAAGTTGCCTGGTTTTGTGCTTGGGGACTTTGAATTTTCTGTACTTACATGTTCAGCAAGTATAAGATTAATTACCATCCTTACATGATGTGCCATAACTTTGTGCTACAACATCTGCCAAAGTGTGGGTTAATACTTTTAAACTGAGTACCCTGTTTCACGATGACCACAGTGTAAAAATTAATAATTATACAAGTCCGTCTAAGAAAAAAAAGCAAATAAAAAATCTTTCAGCTGAATTAACAACCTAACAATATTGTAACTAATCAATGTACATGTATAAATATTTGAGTTTTTTTTGCCACCTTTCCTTGCATTATTTAATGCCAAAAAGTAGCGTTGTTCAACTTGATTAATTTCTATTTAGCATCTGTAAGTGTGTTCAGGTTGGAAAGTACGTTAATTTTGTAGTAGTTGTTTATGTTTTAGATGACATCTTTTCTCAGGTTAAACCAGAGTTTTCTTTGTCTCAAATAAATAATGTTGTTAGGGCCAGAAAACAGAGGAAGTTCTGAATCAAACTCAATGTACCGTTATTACAATGTAGGTTTATCCTGAGCAAGGATTTTTACCTACAACATTATTTTGAAAAAATGTTCTTCAAGTAACCACGAACATTTGATTTCAAATTAAAAATCATGATAAAGTCAAGAAATTAAAGGTCCCATTAGAAAGTTTTATATATTCTGTCCACAATATTTAAACATAACTGTTTTTAAATCTCAAGGACATACACTACTAGTCTTGTTCATACATAACTTAATAATTATTTGGGGTACTTCTTGATCATAAGTATCGATATTTTTACGGTGAAAGATGCTGAAAATTAATGTACCTTAACATACAGGTAGTCAAACAAATTTAATGTAATAATAATAATCATTAAACTGACTGAAGTGATGGTGGACTAAATAGTTGTGGTTATTCACTAAGCTGAGTGAGGTACATACTTCCATGTTTGAAAAGGCTTTAGTGAATGGTGGTATTGTCACTTGTTAATGGAAAATGGTTTTATAGTGGATAGTGTACAAGAGGGTCTAGATATTGCATGAACCTACTTTGCCTACATTAACCAGTAGCCCAGAAGTGAACAACCAAATGCTTTTTACATGTAACTCCAAGCAAGTTGTACGCAATTTAATTAATTTAGAATAAAAGTTAAGTGTACACTTTTAAAGAGTGCTCTCTCACGAAAAGTTCGTAATATTTCTTGTCTCAAAATTTGAAACTCAATCCTCTGTCATCGAGATTCAATTCTCAAGACACGAGACTCCATCCTCAAAAGTGTTGAGAATCAAGTCTCGAGAATCGAGATGTGAGTGACTGTCAACTTACTTTTGAGCCGTACTGTGGCTGTTCTGTGTGGTTTGTACTTATGTACTTCAACTGTAGATTGTGTGAATGAGTGGGAAATAACACTGATTAAAGTGGTTGATTCAGTATACACAGACTAAGTGATTCCATTTCATTGCTTGTTTAGGGAATGATCTGACTGGAGAATGGTATTCCAGCTCCACCAGTGATGAGTCATTCATGAACAATCTTAAACTTCAAAAAGTAGATCAAGAATCTGGGGGTGAGCGTAATGACAAAGCAGATGACGCGCCCTCTGTGAACACAGTTCTTCATCACATTTTAAGAATCACGTCTGATAAGAAACTTTCGTCTGAGCCTCTGCAATTTGAAAAACCAGCCACAGACTCCAAACCTTTGACCCCCAATGGCGATGTCCTTGATGCAGAGAGCATTTGTGAACAAGTTAAAGTTGAGCTTGTTAAGTACAATGTATCCCAAGAGGTGTTTGCCAAAGCTGTGCTTGGAAAATCCCAAGGGTATCTCTCTGAAATGCTCAAACATGGCGAAAGTTTCTTCCGTCCACATGATAATACTCATTACAAGGGATGGTTGAATTTTGACACCATGCGGCGGTTTCTTCTCAAGCCAGAAGAGGAACGGCTGATGATTTATCAGAGCAAAGGAGAGGAGCTGAAGATGGAGAGACTGAAACGTCGGCAGATTGAAATTGTAAGTTGTATTTTGATTATCAGTAAAAAATGTTTAAAAATAGGGCTTGAGGCAAGAATGATTGTGCTGATTTGGTTTTATTCTCACATTTTGTTTACTTGTTTAAAAACAGGGACGTGTACATTGTAATGATCATTCCAGTTATGGCATGATGCATAACAGAATTCACAGGGGTGAATCTAGGAAGAGGGTGCAGGGGCTGCACATACCTCCTGAGATGACTTGCGGCTTTCTAATACAGTTACCCAAAATCTTCTATATTGTTTGATATGTATTCTCCGCAGTTCATTGTATTCACTTTTTTTTCCTGGATCCGCCCCTGATTCAGTTGCTTTTTGGTTGGGTCCCCCTCACAACTTTCAACCACTCTAGTGTTTTGTAAAGTTGCATTGTTGGTACTATGGTCACTTGACTTTGTTACACTATGGGAAAGATATTGACTGTTGTCTGTTGTGTATCTATTGTATTCATGTACATTTTTTGCTGTAGTTTTTAGAGTTCAGTCTGGGGTGCATTCTGTTCAATTCATGCATTTTTTTGTCTAATGACTTGCAGTACAAAAATTCATTCTGGTGAATCAAATTGTCTCCCCAACCTGTTACATGCCCCTTATCAATAAAGAGGATTTTATAACACTAGAGGTTTGTTATTTCAGTTGAGCAGCAAGCAAAAATGCATGTCAGTCCAAACTCCAGAAGTGCGATGTGGCACAGTTGGTTATTGTGGAGCCTTCTGTGCGGGAGGTTCTGAGTTTGCTCCTTGGTGACATCACATCCTTGTTTCAACTTCTCTCCTCTCTGTGTAGCTTTGACTTGCTTTAAACACCCTTAAAACAGAGCATTGATAGAGATGCGGGGGGGGGGATGAGCACACTGTTGACCTCAAGTTTATCAGTTATTACTGTCACAAATTATGGACGTAAAATAATGGTTGCTTTACCTTTTACTACTTTATATTTCTTTCTTCATTTTTTATGCATTTTGAAATAATGACACCTTTTCTTCAGCAAATTCTTTCAAGTAGTGGGATATACATTCTTCATCTGGAGAGTTTCTAGAAGATTTAATTTGTTCAAAACGTAGACACAAAAATGACTGCTGATGCATTGACCTTGTACAACTCAACTACTGGTACTGTCTTGTTTGACTTCATTTTATTAATGTTTTTAAGGGTTTAACTGAAGATCCTTCAAAGAAGAAAAGACGCCTTATCCCAATGGAGGCAAAAGCTGTTATGGAAGATTATTATCACCGCAACAAATACCTTTCCACTAATAACCGTCAGTGCTTAGCCAATCAGCTGGCTATCCCAGAACAATGCATTAGCGACTACTTTAAGAATCTAAGGTCTAGGAAGAAACATGAGGAACGCATGAAGAATTTGCTTCAAGACCTTGAAAATGGCCACAAACAACTCGACCAAGTTGATTCTGACACTGCTGAGGGTAGTCTTGAAGATGAAATGGATGATCAGCTTCCATCATGCTCTGAGAATCTTTCAGCTGCGGCAATAAGAGATGAACCTCCACCTCAAGCCCGGCCTCCAAGTCAAATAAAACATTCTGGAAGAAGGTATAATGTTGCCCCTTTTCAAGAACCACCAGCTAAGAATGTGTCTGAGACAGATTTAGTGGCATCAAAAATTGCAGCTCTTACACAAAGTCAGAAGTCTCCACACAAAGATCCAGGAACTGTGCAGGCGTTGGCTAGAAGAGATTCCAATGCTCATCAGCGAGTGACTGCACTTGATCATTTCCCTAGTCGTGAAGATTCCCGACGTGAAGCTTGTAACTGTCCCCCATCTCAGCCGTCTTCCTCTGGTGCTGACGCAGAAGAGAGGTTCTCTCTTGACAGCTTGTTTAATGGATCCATGATGGAGCTTCAAGGTGGGACCACAGAGAGAGAAACTCTGGAGGTTGGACAGCAGATTTATGTAGTGCATTTAAACAACCATGTACAAGCAAGTATCCAGGACTAAAGCTGTAATATTCTTAAGTTCAAGCTTTGTCTCTTATTAGTGAACTGATGCAAAGGGATGGCAGAGGGAAGAAGATGGCAAACGTTGTGTGACAAGCATGATAATAATTTGTTTGAAAACAATTTCTGCCAAACTTCACCTTCTTTTTACAAGATCTTTTTGTGAAAGAGTAAAACAGTTAAGTTAATTGAACATCACAACAAACATGTAGGTACATGTAATATGCATGTCACGTTTGTCGCACATAAGCATGTTGCTGTCCTCTTCTTTGTACCATCCTTTGAGTTCACTATTGCGAGGTTCAAGACTGGAAAACATACGATGCAAGTGTAAATATTTGTAAAGTAAAATAATGGTTGAAGGAAATTAACATCAAAAGGCTAATATTATGATAAGAAAAAAAATCTGACCATACTAATGAATTTAGTCCACAGATTAGAAAGTCAGGTACATCTTATATAGCACAGTGAGTACAAATGTGAATAATATTGAAAAAACAAACAAACAACAAAAAAGAAATGCCACAAATAAACAATCTTTTACGATCAGTACTGTAAAGTTTTAAAGTACATGTAACAACTGCTTAAAAATATGCCTTAGAAAATAAAGTTAAGAAATGATGTAAACAATTAGATCCTGAAATTAGCTAACTTCAAAAATAACAAGTTCAGTCAAACTCCCCTTTATGGACACCCACTTAATATGGACATCTCGTTTATTATGGACAGTTTTCTTTGTCCCTGGAGAAAGAAAGCCCTTCCATTTTCTCTAAATTCAATTCGCTTAACCCTTTAAGCCCCGATATCCACATATAAATTCTCCATACTGACCTTCATACATTTCCTTAAAAAATAGTTGAGAGAATTTGGTAAAAGATCAAAGCATTTTTCCTTTGGTGATCATTTTATTAACTCTCATAACCATTTCTCTTGGTAACATGGATATTGTTAGGAGAGTATTGATGTTGGTCACTATCGGGACTTAAAGGGTTAATACGGACATCTCATTAATACAGACACTTTGTATGGTCCCCTCGGTGTCCGTATTCACGGGTTTGATTATGCCTGCAGCTGGGGCCAGGTGTGACAAATAATGTTTGAAAAGCTCTTGGATTTCCTGCGTCATTTGAAGCAAGTTGATAATGCTTTAAGGTTTTTCCTTTTCCGTAAGAACTTCTATGTAACATATGTACGGTTACTATGAAATAGGCCCTTTGCAGCTAGTTGGAGGGAAAACAAACAAAGGAAAATAATACCATTAGAACATGTGAGCTCTTTATTTGTCTTTTCCCAGTACATCCATTGCTCTGTAGCATGGCTGTTTTGTACTGTGTGGAAGACTAGCTGAAAAGTGCCTCTGAGTACATAAAGTGGCTCTTTTTTACCAAGGTATCATTACTTACACCTGTACTATTTGATGCCTCCTATGTTAGTAACAGTATTCCTAATGGGCATTTGAATGCTTATAGTGTAGGGGGTGGAGGTGTGCTGTTAGAACTCTGAAACCTGTTATCTTTTACCAGGTCACTGGAATCCCACTCCATGGCTAACCGCTAAAGATCTTGCCAATATGATTCCTTTATAGACTGTATTTACTACCCCTGAACAGTTTTGTTTTTGTACCTTGTACCTTTTTCTAAGTAAAACCTAGCCTGTGTGGCAGGCAACAGTTTATTTTTAGGTTAGGTTTGATATAGCATGCGAGGGGAACATTTCTCCCCTCTTGGTGTGCGCACTCATCCTTAAAATTTTTTCCTTCGCCCTAAAAGAAGTTGTGCTATGTAGGCAAAGTCAAACTCTCTGAATTCTTGCTCAGACCAAGTTACTTCCAAACCATGCCCCTGATAGCAGCTCATGTTTCCTTCTAACCTCAGAATGGGAGGAAAGGAAGGCTTGAGTAACTATAGTGAAATGATGCTATTGTAAGAGTACTATGATAGTGAAACATCTCTTTTGTCTTGAAATGAGTAATATAACTGTAACAAAGTAATTTTCAGTGTATTATAAATGTTCATTTTATGTAAATTATTATTTTAGTAATGTAATATATCGTTGTAATCTTGTTATAACAATAACAGTACAAATTGAAATGTTCTATTTAACCGACGAAAAAAATCAAGAAATTTAAGAAAGAGATTAAAGCATATCTAGAAGAGTATTTGAAGTGCTTTTTTATTGAGTTGATGACAATATCCTTATCATTTGCCACCTTAAAAAGGACCACTTTTTGGATGACGCCCTTAGAATTTTTCTATTGTTTTATCTTCTTGTAAACGACACCGCTTAAGGGATGGTTTGATCTCTATGCTCGTTGTATGTACTACACTACCCAGAGAATGCAATAACATGAAACCAGACGTATCTTACTAAGAAGTTTCATGTAATGAACTCTTGTACAAAATGGAAGATGCGTACGGTCCTCTTTAGCCTGCGTGGCAGGCGTTCGAAAGGGAAGGGGAAGGGAATTAGGGCGCGAGACCACGCGCGCCCCACGCGCTCTCGCGGGCCCAAATTGCCCCCTTCCCCTTCTCCTTTTAACGCCTGCCACGCAGGCTAGGTCCTAAACTACTCTCCAAACTGATCTCTATACATTTCCTTGAAGAATAATTCTTAACTAATTATTCAATTATCAAAGGATTTTCTCTTTAGTGATCATTTCCTTAATTCTCATAACCATTTCTCTTGGCATTATATGGAAACTGTTAGGAGAAAATTGATGTTGGTCACTCTTGGGCCTTAAAGGGTTGAGCGACACAAAATCTTGGCTGGGCGCTTAAACGCGCCCATTTGAAAAATGTTGATCGTGAACATGCTAATGAGTGGAAAATGGTATATTTAGAGAGTGTCAATCAAGAGTTCCTTTCTCTGTGTCCCTCTCCTGATTATTGTTCTTCCTCAGACACCCACAACATTTGGCTGTTCATTGAAAGAGGATAGTTATTTGGGACTATCAACAAAAACGTCCAACTTGTGGCCATAGCGGGGGATTGAAACAGTACCCTAAACCACTTGACCATCATCCGTTAACAAAGTGAACTCAGAAAACAAAATGTTCTTACAGCCTCTATCATTATACCTATCCAGTTACTAGCTTTCTTTTTGGCTCACAAGTGAAACAGCTGTTTTTCCTCTTTCAGAATTTCTTTTACTCCATTTATCTCGTTTCCTGTTTTACAGATCATGGCACCAGCCCGCCGGCAGCTATGTATGAAACATACTATGTCACAGCACATAAACAACCTTGTAGAGCAGCCAGCTTTAGTCAAAATGGTAAGATGGTCAGTAATAGGGCGGACGTCAAAAATGGCAACCGGAAGTTGATATTTTCTCTCTTTCAGTGCTCTGACTCGGCAAATACGTACAGCGGGACTTTAAACAAAGGCATTCAGATTCGTTGTGTGAGACAGAAGCGTTCCATCAAGCGAGATATCGAACTTCCGGTTGCTAATCATGACGTCCGGGACGTTAGCGTTTTCGTTGCTTAAGCTCGCTAATCCAGTAGCCGAAGAGCTGAATAGCCCCTTTCATACCCTGGGTGCAAGTGGCTTTTCATGCGCGGTTTCCCGTTGCGGTCGAGTCTTAAAAAGTGACCCACGCGAAAAGTTTTTTCTCGCGGCTTCGCCGCTCGTGTCTTCGGCCTTCGGCCGAACACTTGTCGGCCTGTGGCCGACGGAACGAAGCTCCCCGTCGCACGCGAGAAGAAACCTCTAGTACCCTTGGTACTCCTTTCACGCTTTGACTATTGACTGGTTTTCTTTTTTAGGACGATTGATTTCGACCGGCTCTGCTGATGCTTCAATCAAGGTAATTTAAACTGAAACATCTTTTATGTTACCTATGTATAACCTGTAAAAAGAAAGATTTTAAAGAATCGTTTTTTTAGTTTTTAACCACGTGTGCTTTGCTTTTTTCTGTCCATAAGTCAGTTTCCTTGTCTTCAAAATAAGTAACATTGTATATGCGACTTTGCCTTCCGCAACCCACAACTTGCTCCTAGAGTAGACACAGATCTCGGCTAGTTTCCATTTTTTATGGAAGACGTTTCCGAATAATATTAAGTGCTTAAATATTAGATATTTTTCGTGTTGCATGCCCTGGACTCCAGAGCCAAAGGTAATGCCAATACCTGTCACTCATTCACGTACTGTGAATTATTTTAGCTGAACAAATCAAAAGCCACGCTCGTTTGTATTCATTCGTACGATAAACCCATCAAATTGCTCTTTTTACGTTCGCGTGCTGTTTTCATGCAAAATCATTTCCAGGTGATACGAAAAAAGTTCTCTATAGGTAGAATAAAACTATCACTTGATCTCTCTCTAAATCCCAAAATAATAAAAAGAAATGATACTATGTGTTTTTTTTAGGTGTTAGATGTTGAAAGAATGGTAGCGAAGAACACAATGCCCCAGTCACAAGACCAAGGAACAGGAACAAATCTAGAGAATCATCCTGTTATACGGACGCTCTATGATCACAATGATGTAAGTTAGTGGGGGGGGGGGGGGGGGATTGGATGGGAGAGACTTAAATGTGTATAAGGCGTTGTTATGGTTCACTAAATTACGCTCTGCTAATGGCAAAATTCTCAATATACTGCAGCTGTCTACATGAGGAAAAGATCCCTTTTGACAGTTTTGTAATACTTCTTGGTGAGAAGTTGAGCATTCAGAAAGAAATAGCTTTTGGAAATAATAATTGTACGACCTTTGAAAAAACCTTTCAACATGCATTTGCGACGTGGGTATAGGTTTTCTTGTTGTTGCTGCAGTTTTTGTTTTATTGTTTTAGAATTATTATCATTAAAATTTTCAGTATTGTTTTTCTACTTTCTTCTTTTTTAAATAAAAGATGCAGTAGATAGTACATAATGTTCATAACAATTTCTGTAAATTTGACATTTACTTGTAAAAAAGGCGTTGTTCTGAGGGCGATAGTGTGGGAGGGGAGGCAGGAACTGACTGAAATGCATACATTTTACATTTTCCTCCTTGAGTTTTGTTCTAAAAGGTTTTTAAACTCTTCAACAATAGACAAGGTTGGGTGTATGTGCCCTGGAGAATGGTGGTGCCAAGCGTAAAAGAGACAAACACAACGTATCCATGGCAACGGTACATACTTACCTAAAGGGGAGGGAGGGGCGGGAAAGAAATCAGCACAAGGCAGCTAGTTATGAAAGGTATAATGCATTTTTATTCCCTCAGGAAGTGACTGCTGTTGAATTTCACCCCAGTGCGCTGGTGTTGGCATCAGGAAGTAAAGACTGTACGGTCAAACTTTTTGACATATCAAAACCTTCGGTAAAAAAAGCCTACCGCTCTATACAGGTATGAAATTATCGCGTTCGTCAGAACGCATCCTAATCTTGGTGTTCCTGTGGTACAAAACCACAAATTTTCGAAGTATCAGGGGCGACTGCCGATTAGCCGCCCCCTCTGATTTTATCAGGGGCATCTCGGCCAGGAAACTGGACTCCTTTCGACTTGATTTCGTTTCCGAAAGTGACGAACGCGGATCCCTAATCAATAACAAAAATATTTATTTGAACGGTAGAGACAGGATTTTTTGCTAGTAAAAAAGTTAATTGACTGGCTGTTTTTTGCCAGTTGAGATCTTATCGAAAAGGTTTGCCATATCTTTAAACAAAAACCTGAAATGGCAGCTCACAAAAGGGCTGTATAGACTTTCTCAAAGCCCGTTTCCGGTTTGTGCTGGTTAGGTGGTCAGTCGGGAAACGGACGACTCGTGACCTACGTCACTAGCTTTCGTTCGCTTTGCGAGCGTCCTTCGCGCCTTTGGCGCTCACGCAGTCGACTTGTGGCAAGTCTAATTAGCGTATTGGTCGCTGGCTGCCGTGAGTCCTTTTTTCTTTTTCTTGTTATGTACTTATGCATGCGTAGCTTCTTTGCTTCAGAATTCTGCAAAACCGTTTACCTTTCTTTATGGAAAGAAATCTATTGTTGTTGGTGGTTTCAAATTTCTTCGAGAGAAATGCTTAGTAGCAAACGTTTGCTTAAGGAATCCTTGTAACTTCCAAAAACCACTCGCTTTTTGTTGATTATCATTTTGCGACAGTTAATTTCAGTTCTGACACTCAAAAATTGATACTCGACCTCAGCTGGATTCTCGAAAACTTCAGTTGTCGATAAACTAGTGTTCAGTCAGGAACCAATGGTTACATCTGACTGTAAAGTTAGCACTTGTTTGTCAGGTACTCTCCATCCGAAAATACATCAGCGTTAGCAGGCTAGTCTCTTTGAGACTTTGGGAGATTGACTTAAACAAATAAATTTATTGTGAGCTTTTTTAATCTTTTCAGGAAGCAGAGTTCGTCACGTCAATGTCTTTTCATCCCACAGGGGACTTCATCCTTGTTGGCACAGAGCACCCAACAAGTGAGTTTGTTGACATCAATAGCCGCAAAAGCCAGAACCACCTTTATATAACAATTTTAAAAATACTGCAGTTTTGCATTAACCCAGGCAGTTACTGCTCCCCCGTCCTCTACAGCACTGTGATCAGTATTACAGAGGAGTAGTAAATCGTCCTCAGTAACGCGCTTAGCGTATGTAACGACTTATGGAATTCGTGGCCAATCGTATGTCAATATCTTGGTCTTAAATTTGGTGGATAATTTTCTCCCTTCTCTTTAATTTTAGTTCGACTTTATGACACCATCACTGGTCAATGTTTCGTCTCGTCAAACCCTCGGGAATACCACACGGGAACCATTAATATGGTGAGTAGGGTGACTGCTGAGATATGGTTAGCCTGTGTAAAAGTCTGTTTGAAGGAAGTGGGAAAGTAAGTGGTGGGAGTAGGGGGTAGGGGGTAGGAGGAGCACAGCACTCTCCCCCCACCAGTGTGGTCTGGGTTTAAGTCCCAGTGTCGACGCCAGGGGGGGTGGGGGGGTCTGCGTTTTGGTTTGTCTCTTCCTTGCTGAGCTAGGTTTTCTCAGTTCCGGTGGTCTGGTTTTCGCCTCAGTCTCTCCAAAAGCAGTACTTCTAAACCTCAGTTAGTTCTGGAACACGTGAACACTCAAAAACAGGTTTTAGAGTGCCAATTTTCCAAACGTTCAAGTCTGGCGCCCTCGTGCGCCCAATCAACCCTAACCACGTCAGCCTAGGATATGCTGTGTATCGAATGTATTGAAACCCCTGCACTGAAATGTCATGCAGGCTGACACACAAAGGGGCTTGTAATTTACAGTTTCGTAACAGCCAAACCAAAGTAGTTGTATTGACCAATCACAGTGCACAACAATCTTGCTGATGAACCAATCAGAACGTGAAAAGAAAGACGTGTTGCTGGAGTCAAGCGCGGGAGAATTGGGCGGGAAAACACACTTGAGTTGGGTTTTACAACTGATTGGCTGAGAATATGGCGGGAAGTTTGACAGCTTTAGCTTTCGCACAACATTCAGCCTTCTATCGAGTGAATAGAGAGGAGAAATGTGATGTCAAGTTACCATGGTAACCAAATTTCTGGGCCCAGATGTTCGAAGACCGATTAGCGCTTAACCCAGGGTTAAATTTAACCCGGGTTTCTTTTTCTTTTGTTCAAATGCATTTTCACTGATAATTTTCTCTGTTATTTTTAAGAGCATCCAATCATCAACTTGCTGACCGAAAGAATTAATCTGAATTTACCTTTTTAAGTTTTCATATCTAAATTCAAATTTCGCTCCAGCTTTGAACAACCCGGCCCTGGGGCCCGTTTCTCGAAGCTCCCGGTAATTACCGGGCCCGTTAAGCTGTTTTGTTTTCCATTTTAGAAGGGAGTTTTAGAAGTTTTGAAAATTATACAGTAGAGTCATTAGCTAACGAAACAAAATGGACTTCATTAGAGGACAGAACACACCCTACTTTTCTTGAGACTTTGATTCAAAAATATGATTCCGGGCCCGTTAAGTTACCGGGACTTTCGAGAAACGGGCCCCTGGATGATAACAATTTGGCCGAGATTAAGCACCGACGGCGGCGACAGTAACGAGAACAACAACAAAAATACCCGATAGGTTTAGCTTAGCAAAACAACAACTTTGCACGTGCATCACACTTTTTTGTACATTTCTTAGCCGTCGTTGAACGACTGCAACATGAAACTTCCTAATTTCACGCGCCGCTTTACGGAGTAGGTGAACACAATACAAAAAGTTTCTTTTTCTTCTTTTAAACTCACATACGGTCCTTTTGGATTAAATCCAGAAAATGTCGCCAACATTTGATGACAAATTAAATGAAACTGAATAAGATCGATGAAGTTTGAAACAGTGCGAATTTACTTATAAGTGAATTTTCGGTTTGCTGTCATCCAAAAATTTTGCTACCATGGCAACGTGAAGTAACGACTTTCCCTCCCTATTTTCTGGTCCACTAAGGAATTACTTCCTTCTCTGCATGTAATCCGGGTTTTTTCTAGTTTTGTTTGCCTAATAACGTTTACTGCATGAATAACGTTTTATTTGTTTACCATGTCGTGTTTAGGTGAAATATTCGCCGTCAGCTAATCTTTACGCATCTTGCAGCAAAGATGGTTCTATAAAGGTAAGTAACAGTGTGATGTAGTTAACAGTTATAAGGTGAGGCTGAGTATGATATGAAGAAAATTATGAATAACACCTGCAAGATCTGCGTAATTCCTGATATCATTCGAAAGCTTAAGTCAGTTTTTGTTTTATTATTCATTCAAAATATTTCAAAGCTCAAAGCACGCTTATCTTAATGTTAAGTTTCCGTCACCAAAACATTTACCTATTCCTCGGCAGTTCCAGGATAGGAAGGAATGTTTAAAGACCATTTTACCGATACGGCGGCCATATTGAATTCATTAAATTTATGGAGTTTTATGGGATGCCCAGGGTGTACTTTCTCAGTATTTTCACGCGCTTTTCGGGCAAAAACAGAACTTCAATGTATATTTCTCGGGAAAAACGCGATCATTATTACATCCAAACACGGCACAACGATGTTTTTTTCCCATTACAATCTTTTTCTACGAAAACTTAAAGAAAAATTTTCCCGAAAAGCGCGCGTAAATACTGAAGCGAGTATATCGGATCGTGCTCATTTCCCCTGGGCGTCCCATAATATTCCTTAAATCCAATTAATTCAATATGGCCGCCTTATTGGTAAAAAGGTCTATTCCCAGCGTGGTACTGCCTGCAATGGCCTATACGGAGTACCCTGGGTACCACAGGCTTTTCATGCGCGGTTTCCGGTTTCTGCTCGTGTCTTCGGCCTTCGGCCGAACACGTGTGGGCCTACGCCCGACGGAGCTACTTGTCGCACGAGAGAAAAAACCTCTGGTACCCAGGGTAATACGGGGAGGCTCCGCCCGAAAAGCTACCTTTTCAGGCTTTAGGCATATGAAATGGTAGCGATGTCACTTGTTGAAGTGTATGAAAGGGTAGGAAAATCGGTCATTTCGGTCGGCAGAAAGACTCCAACAAAGGGCTAACAAATGTATTGAATGGATGTTAAAAAGTCGAGAAGACGTTGTGGTTTTGTGATTTATTAATACTTTAAATATAATGCATTTACAGCAGTTAAAAGGGGTGCAAAGTTCTAAACTAGGCTTGTGAAAGGGGTACCATTTGCCGATAGAAGAAATTCGAAATGGGTACCTTTTCTGTCAAAATTGGTATATTAGACTTAAGCAACATAACGGAAACGTCAGTTGACGACGGGAAAGCGCGCTGAAAGGACTAAACGCTACTTCCGGTACCCAATTTGCGTCTCTGCGATTGGTCAAGCCAGTTGTTTGATTTGCGCGCGCCGTCGTCAACTGACGTTCCCTTTCTGTAGCTAAATCAGCCTATTAAAGGGTAAAGGGGTTGAGCCTCCGCGCATAAAACTTTGTTAAGCGTCCCCCAGGGGTCTCGCAAACGTTCTTCATATAGCAGTTGTCATTCGTCGAGCGGAATTTCTGTTTATTCCCGTTATGTTTTTTTAGGCGGTAGTTCGGCTATTTCGTCTTCGCCTAGGGGTTAAGTCTTCCGTCATTTTCTCCTTCTCTGCACTGCCATCACACCTGAGCCAATGGCGCCGCCTCTGCGTGACGTCTGTGCGTCCGTTCTTTATTAGATAACATCAAAATTGACGTCAGAACGTCGCAGTCAGTAGAGAGATTTGGAGTCACATTTACAACAAACGTGAATTCGTACCACGTGACCAAGTTGTCCCTATTTCTTGTCGTGTTCTGGTCATTACTTCTACACAAAAAGCAGTAGTTTCATTCTAGTTTTATCCGTAATATATTTTCTCAACTTGAATGTGACGTTTGCCGTAAACACGATTCTAAATCTCTCTGATAACAAAGTGACTAACCTGAGACAAACGATAAACGAGCCCGTCATCTCTTGGTCTGTTTATAAAACTCGGCCACGCCTTGTTTTTCCCTTTTTTCATAAACACTTTATGGTGGTTGTTTCGATAGCCGTCAAACATTCTTTCTCGTGTTTGAATTGAAACGCGTTGTGTAAGATAGTCTGTCTATACAGTAAATACACCTAAAGCTTGTTGTAACTCTCCCCTTTCTTTAGATTTGGGACGGAGTCAGTAATAAATGTGTACAAACATTTCCACAGGCTCATAATGGAGCAGAGGTAGGTTGTAGAGAAGCTTACAGGTAGTTTCGCATGGCATGTACTAAAACACGGAACACCGGGACACCCCGGAACTTCTCGGAAAACCTAACAAAAGGTAAAGTGAAAATGAAAACGACTAACAGGAAACCAAACCCTAACCCTGTTTGTTTTTATTTTTCTTATGTATGTTCCGGAGTGTTCCGAATGTTCCTTGTTCCTGGTTTTAGTACATGCGATTTTTTCCTAGGGATACTCTTCCAAACGAATAAAAAATAGTCTAACCTCAGAGACTTGTCTTTCCCGCTAGTCCCGTTTCGTAGGGAGGCCATTATCCCACGAGTTCGCGAAAGTATGCTCCACTTTTCTGTTGGCGTTTGGCGTGAACCGAAAAGAAAGGTCTGCTCTTAAAATTTTTGCTTCTATTGTAATTTTCATTCGCCATGCTATCAAGCGAGAAGGGGACTGGAGCCAAAATGCGTCCCGCAATTGTTTGTGGGATCGCTACTGGGCACGTGCCAGTCAGCTATTGGCTAATTTTTTTCCTGTCTCTAGTAACAGTCCCAGAGGTCTTTGCGAATGTTAACTCGGCCCTAGTTCCCTTCATGTTTTGAAAGTGGCGAAAAAGCGAAGAAGCCACGCAGGGAATAAGGTGTTCTCTCTTGGTTCCCCTTCTCTCCGTAGTAGTTATTAGCATGTATAATCAATTCATGGTGACGAGTGAGGTTATTCCCTTATTTCACGAGTATACCATTTGATTACCTATTAATATCATGGGTGACGAATTACTTTCGCAATCGAGTTCGACAATATACCTGTTAGAATCCTTCTTGATGTGCTCTTTCGTGTGTTTAGGTTTTCTAAAGCGTCTTTCCACGTCTTTTAATGCCCTGACATCTTCATTCATAACTTTTTCACACTTCGTTGCCATCTTAGTACTGAGACGTAGGGAAGGTTTTTATAGCAATTTTGTAATTTCACTTGTGAAATTATAAATTAGTATAGGTAATAGCATGATTTGAAGTGATTTTTGGAATAAATACCACGAGTGATATTTCAAAATTGTTATACGAAATTTCACGAGCCGTTAGGCGAGTGAAATTTGAGACAATTTCGAAATATCACAAGTGGTATTTATGCCAAATATCACGTACAAATCATGCTATTATTTGTTCATACTACTACCCACAAAAGGTTTGTAATTTTCACTTGTAGGTTTTTTCAAATTAAGCTGAAATACCACTGCTCTAAGCCAATCAAATTGCAGAAATTTTTCATGTAGTGGTATAAACCCTCAAACTTCGCGTCAAAATTAAGGAATACAGCCAACTTTCGCCTTGTGGACACCCCGATAATACGGACAACAGCTAAGTCCCCTGCAAAAATAAATTACAGACGTTTGACTGAAGTAAACTCTCGCTATTACCGACTCGGTAATGAGGACACTAACTCGAAGTCCCTACAGTGTCCGCAATAAAGGGAGTTAACTGTAATTTGTCACTCATGATAATTAGAGTATTAATTGTTATTTGCAGGTGTATTCCGTTTGTTTCTCTCAGAACTCAAAGGTATGTCATTAAGGAGCTCCTACTGAATAAGAGGAATTTTGAATGAGTCTTCGGGATGAAATACCGTAAAATTCCGAAAATAAGCCCCTCCAAATATAAGCCTTCTAAACCGGTAACGCAAAAAACCCTCCGTTAAATCGCCCCTCCAAATATAAGCCCCCCGGGGGCTTGTATTTGGAAAATTACCCTCAAATACAAAGTAAAACAAAGCAAAAACGGTAAATTTACTTCCAACTATAAGGCTAGCCCAATCGATTCAAAACGCAAATTTCCTTCCGTAGAAAAGCCCCTCCGAATATAAGCCTCTCCAAATGTAAGCCCCTCCAAAAGGGCCTTTGAAAAATGTAAGCCCTGGGGCTTATTTTCGGAATTTCACGGTAATTTGATGAATCTTATAGGCTTGTGGTACTGGGACGGGTTGTTGTGTGCTTCAGTTATATATTTTGTTCTGTTTTAAGGGCCTCTTCACATGAGCCCGGTTTCCGAGATCTCGCCTCACCTCTAAATCCTTTGTAAAATTTTCGATGTGTTCATATGAGAGGGCGGGCTGGCTCGGTTCCCGAGATCTAGGTTTTTCCAACCGGGCCGAAAAATTTGACAGAGAGTCCCTCACCGGGATGAAAGCTGTATGAACGGCCCGGATAGCATCGTCTTGCATTACCTGCTGAATTTTCTACATCATAAGCATCCCATTTAACTGCAGTGATACAGCTTTAAGAGGTGCCGATGCTATGATGGGCAGGAAAGTTATAATTTTTGTGTTTCGCCATGTTTGCTTTGTTTCTCGAATTTCGCGCTAGAACTCGTTCCCAGGATATATGTTTTTTTTTTTCATCTCGGAAACCGGGCTGAAATTCATCACATGAACCCAAGGCGAAATTGGTCCCGATAACTGGGCCAACTTCGTCAACCGGGCTCTTGTGAAGAGGCCCTAAGTTTAAGTGGACTTAAAGCCTTCAGAACAGCTTTGTCTTCTCAGCCTATAATTTCGGTGCCTGTTGGAGTTTATCTAAACTGCTAAATCCTCAATGTCATAAGAATAATCATCCTTACCATTAGTTATGACTCTCAGAGTTTTTATTCTGGAAATAGTTATGGTTTAAACTCACATTTTTTGTAAATAATGGTGATACTTGTAACCTGGGGTCAATTTAATAAAACTTTTACAGGTTTAATTTACAAGTGCAGCTATTCTTTTCGGACCCAAAAACAATAGCTACACTTGCAAATTACACTTGTAAAAGTTTTATCAATTTGACCCCTGTTTTGATGTCCTCAATGAGCAGTAATTCTAAATCTTTTTGACACATATTACCGTAGCCTCCCCGCAGACGTCCTTTGGGGTTCGTTTGTCACGCATTCATTTTAGAAATGAATGCGTGACAAACGAACCCCAAAGGACGTCTGCGGGGAGGCTAATATTACCGGTTCTTTATCTTACCTCTGTTGTTTTCTGCAGTATATCGTGTCCAGTGGGAAGGATTCTCTGGTATTCTTATGGGAACTTGCGACAGGTATTATTTTGAACTCAATTAATTAATTAATTAATTTATTTATTCATTCGTTCAGTTTATTTACAATTTTTTTAGTCGGGTGAGTGTTAACGTGATACTACTTTTACTGGTATTCTAAATTCGTTACAGTAAGAGATGTACTGATTTCGTGAAAACGACGGAGTACAGAGCCAAAACAGGGAACCGAGCTGAACGGATATCGGTATTCATTTCTTACTCCGTGCATTCTGAACAGTTCGTCGTTATGCTTGGAAGGGAGGGTGGTTGGGCAAAGGCAAGCGCGAGGTGTTCGTGAATCGCGTGCTCCACCGTCGCGCGTATCTCGCGCACCACGCACTTCTCTCCTTTGCCTTTGCTTGCCTGAAAAACGCGAAGTAATCTAGAGATTTAGAATAACGTTTACAGTAAATGGTAAACGTCAGTTTCAAAGAGAAAATTTCATAAATTAGATAATGAGCAGATAGAAACGGTCAAAGATGATTTTTATGGATGAAACTGACATGAAAATTCTTGTTCGTTTTTTTTTTGGTAGAAACAGGGACCTTTAGTTTCTAAGACGACAACGAATACGAGATTTCCCCAATGCTAAGTAGTGCTCGCGCGAGAATCAGCGTCATTTAAGCGGGAAAACGTGGTAGCCGTCGTCACTCTACTACGAGTTTTAGGGAGAATGTCGAAGTGTCGGAAACCAGTTATCAAATGTTAGAAGTTTTGACATTTTGCGATCGGGAGAGGGTGTAACCTCCTTCGCTAAAGGTAACAGTGCTAACTCAAATTTGTTTGTTTGTTTCTTACAGGAAGAGCGCTCAGCATGTACACGGGGGCCTCGATGTCGAATTTCAAGTCACAGATTGTCTTCAACCACACAGAGGATTTCAGTGAGTCAATGATTTGAAGAAGGAATAGTTTACTTGTGTATAAGGGTCCCTTCCTCTTCCCGACTTATCTAGGAGGATCGAAGGGCCTCTACTCGCGGGGTATTAGTTTCTATAATCTTTGATGGCTTTGATTATCTTCGTGCTCAAGTCTAGAGGTTACCACTGACTCGGGCTTTGCGTTGGAAAGCTTTTTTTTTTTTTAAAGAAAAACGAAGTTAGGCACTCTAGAACTGAGTGCACTGTGTCTGTGACAAATTAGTTAAGTGTTGAAGTAAGTCGTTTTGCCATTGAAAATCTTTTTGCTTGTTTTCGATAGTGATCGTTGCGGATGAATCGAACAACAGTATAGCTTGCTGGGACACAAGAACTACGGAGAAGCAGAAAACGCTTACTTCAGGTAAATTGTCGTCCTCGTTTAGACGTAAGGTTTAATTTGGAGAATAAACTACGGTAGCAACTTTTTTGGTTATGGTAACCGTTGGTAGAAATTAGTTGCAAGAACAAACTAAACGAGTAGGAAATTTTTGAAAATGTTGTCGTTTGATTGTCCAGGTCGACAGGCTTCTTAGCGGCGGCGGAGCGAAATAAAAAGTTGGGGTGGGGGGAAGGGTGGGAAGATCTCTTCTGCAAGGAAGTCAGTTTTCTAATCCGGATTTTTCTTGCTTCTTTTTATAAACTTTCAGGTCACAACGGACACATTCGTTGTATCACCCACTCCCCGACGGGTGCTGCTTTTGTCTCTTGCAGCGACGACTTCAGAGCGAGGTTTTGGTATTGCGAAGGAGTATAGAACTACTACTACTAAAACGGAGAATAAGTGCAAAGAAGAGTGCAAAAAAAAGCAAAAGAAAAAAGAAGAAAAAAAAGAAGCGAGGAAGAATGGGCAGCCAATGCGGCCCTCGTAACATGCCACAGACATTGTTCATGGGACCGATATTGAGATTACTGCCCTGGAGATTTTGTTCAGGGCACAGGATTACTGATTCGTCCTCATCCTGAGCGTTCTTTTAACATGTTTAACATGTTCATTGGACCATTTGGCTCAGTGTAGTAAATTTTCAAAAAGTCGAACATAGACTGAACCACTCCTAAGTAACTCTCATGAGCTCATTATCTTCCTCTGAATTGTATCTCAGTCTCAAGGTGTCACCAGGAGAGACTGTGAGCATTCATTCAAACTCACTGTCGATATGCTTTTTTAGGATCTTTTTGCATCGAAGACCCCAGATAGGTGAGGTAACATGTGGCGGGTCACCCCATTTATCATGTAAACGTGATCAAATTAAAATGAGAGATTATATGGACAGGCGGGTTACCCCACCTAAGCAGGTCACCTCACCTACCTGGGGTCCCCCACCTCCATGTAAACTGGCCCTTAGTCAGTTCATTTTTCTTTGTTATGTAAAACCTTACCAGGAATTACAGTCGTTATCGTTATTATTGCTAGGAGAACACAGATGTCATCTCACATTGACACTGGAAGTTATCGTCTTAGGTACTGGCGGGAAAGTTGAGACCGCGGGGCGTCATGGGATTTCCTTTTCATCTTTCCGAGCTTCTTTGCGCCCGAATTTATGCAAATTTAGAAAGTTAGTGCACATTCCCCCCGGGCATTTGTCACCTTTTCGGTCCCAGTGGTGGGGATTGGTCAGAACCTTTGCCCGGGGCAATTCTTCTAGAAGCGGACAACGTCGTTCCTTTTCAATTTTTCACTGAAAAATATGCTTATTTAGATAGCGTTAGATATTTCTGTAAAGAATATTTTTAATACCTATGCTTTAGAAAGATATGCGTGGTTTTCCCTCAATCACTTCTCTACCCCACAGTATTTTTTGTATCCGTCGAAGAAATTGCTTCCCGCCATCGTGATCAGTTGGCACATGGAGGAAAAACTATCAAGGTATCGTTTGAAGAGTGTAAAGAAAAAGACACTTTCTTTGTGCGTGAATGGTTGAGGCAGGAAGGCCTAGAAAACTCTGCGAGATATTCGTGTATTGTGCGATAAGACGGTTCCTTCGTGATGAGAAAACACTCATGTTAAGCTCGTCGGTTGTTGTTTATCATTCACGATATAAAACCCTTTGGAAAATAACAAAATTTAAATTAAAATTCTAGTTTATGGTTCTGTCATTGATATTAATCAGATCAATGTGGTCTTTTTCTAATAATTATAACTAGCGGCCCGGAGCGATTTACGGAGGGTGCTTCACGCGTTATGGTCAGATTATTACAGATTTCCTATAAATAATGGTATTTGCAGCTTGCTTGCTGGAAAATGCAATTTTGGTGTTGTCCCGGGGTGGGGCATTTGCACCCTATTTTTAAGCCCCGCCGTGGGGCATTTGCAGCTTTTCCAACACAAAATGACGGATGCCCGGGGGAATGGGCACGCTTTTAATTTACTGAGCCATAAAAGTGTCAAATACCCTGGCTTTCCTAAATTTGGAAAATTTGTTGCTTGCGCGAAAAGCTGGGGATTTTATTTTGCGGAGGGACGCTGAGAGTTATCTGGTAGAAGGGTCCCCTGAAACGGCCCGAGCTTGCCTTTACAAAACGTTGTTGAGTAGTCCCTAAGGCTTTCCATGGCAGCCAGTTCAGGTGTTTCGATAGTAGGGAAGGAGTGCATGCGAAACTGTTCATCGCTTTCTTTACTTCGCACCGCTCCCCACTATCTGAACGCCTAGAACAGGCTACTTTCCGGCTAAATTGTACGAGATGTCTTTTTTTATTGGGAGAAGTCATTCCAAACAAAATCACAACCGAAATCACCGTTCAAATATTTCTGCCAATGCCAAAAGTTTACTGCTATCTTTTTCAAATGTACTGGATTGTTTTAATGTAATTGGCAGTCACCATGATGGGCC